GTTTGTGTCAATTGTTGAAGACACTATGCAATCCATCTAATTAGGGTCTCCTTCTTTTCCTCTGACCCACTAATTTACCAAACATGTTCTTTTACAAGGATTGGTCCCACCTGATGGTGTGTCCAAAGTAAGCAAAATGAAATCTCATCATCCTCCCTTTCAAGAAACATTTGGCTGTACTTCCTTCATAAAAGATTTATTCAGACTTTTTTCCAAAACCACAGTTAAAATATGTCAATTCATCTTCAGTCTTTCTTAATCATTGTCCAGTTTCTACACGTATGTATGGAAACTGAAAATATTATGGCTTGGATCAGGAGCACCTAATTCATCCAAGTGATGACTTTACTTTTTGGCACTTTTAAGAGATCTTTTGGCATATTCAAATATGTTCTTTGATTTCTTGACTTTTGTGTCTATGGGTGCTGATTGTTGATCCAAGTAAAATTAAAAATTTTGCCAACTTCAATATTTTCTTTCTTTATCATGATGTTGCCCCATGGTTCTGCTATGAGGATGCTTGTTTCCTTAAGTTGGGTGTTATCCATTTTATTTAAGTCACTGTTCACTTTTATCAAACAAGATTGTGTCATTTCCATATTTCAGGTTGTTAAAGACTCTTTCTCCACACTAATGTCATTCTTTTTCATATAGCCCAGATTCTAGGGTTACTTGTTTTACATACATATTGACTAAGACAAGAAAATTTTGGTGAAACTAAAACTACAGTTTCAAAAAAGCATGAGAACTTTCTTGTGATCCTTTGTAATCTCCTCCTCTCATTCCCTTCCTCATTAAAATATACCACTGATTGGTTGTTACCACACATAAGTTTATATTATTCTAGAATTGTATAGACAAATAATTAGAAAGTTGGACAATGGCAAAAGAATGCAGAAGAAAAACTGATGTGTTTATATTGAGGTGTAGATGAAGAATTAAAAAAAAAAAAAAAAAAAACCAGACAGCAATGAAAATTCTGGCATACAGCTTTGGTAGCGGAGGGATGTCTGGCAGAGTAGATTTGTGTGGGTGACAGGAAAGGTACTATTACTTCTTTTGCCCCACACTTCCCTGGTGACCAGAGGTGTGGCCAGCTCTCACTCTCATCCACCCCAGCTCAGACCATGCTTTCCAAAAGTTAGGACCCACATGGCTGGGAGCCACACCAGAGAGTTGGGGACTGGCTGCAATGCTTTTGTGTTTTGCTTTGGTGACTGAATTCAGGTAGGCTTGGTTCTAGACCTATAAAGTCCACAGAGCCGCCAGACCAGCATTTAAATAGTTACCCTGACCCCATCTGCCTGTGGTCCTAACAGACACTGAAACCAACTCCATCAAGGTCCCCCATAAATGACTTCTGTATTGAGTGCCCTGAACATAGATAACAATGAAGCCAATAGGAACTCCATTTAGGGCCAGGGAATCTGCTGTCACATCCCTTCTCATGAGCTCCTTGATTGGAGGAGTCCACCAGAGATTTCTCGCCTGTGGGTGCAACAATTGCACTATTCATTTTTACAAATACGACAACCTCACAAAATCCTGTAGACAACAGACAATTTTAGCTCACATGAAGAAACAAGAAAGAAGGGCTCAAACGAATGACCAAGATGCAAAGACAGAAAACATTTCTGAGAAAAAAAGGTAATGGAACTAACTGAAAAAGAATCTAAAAGAATGGTATTTTGGTATCTTCAATGGATTGACATGAAGATAAAGGAAAGCAAGTAGAAAGTAGAACACAGAACAAACTTTAGAAAGATTCAGGAAAATACGAGAAGAACAAGCAGACAAAAATAAATGCTAACTTTGCAGCAGCAATACAAAACCTGCAATCTAGAAGATTAATACTAAGATCTCCAAAATGGAGAATACATCATTGAAAGGGCAACATAGAAGATTCATAGCAACAGAAGCCCGATTTAGTGAACTTGGAATAAATCTCTCAATACTAGTATACTAGAAGAGAAATCAGAAAGAGAATGAAAAAATCCAAAGAAAGCCTAAGAGTTATATGGGGCGCCATGAAAAGGAACAACTTACGTGTGATTGGAATTCTAGAGCAGGAAGAGACAATGAAAACTGTTAAGAATTGTTGGAAGGAAACTTCCCTAATACAATGAAAGATGAGAAGATAAGCAAATAAGGGTGAGCCAAAAATGATCTGCATTCTGGTTATATTGCAATGCCCTTCCATGTTCATGGGTGATGAAAACATTGAGCATGCATGTGAAATGACTCAGTAAATTATGTAACAACTCATTTGCCAGTCAATCTGCCTGTGAAAGAATCCATGACAGACATGGGTTCTGAAAAGTTTGTGTGAGGTGGTTACTGAAACAATTCATAGAAGAGAATAAACAGAAGCGTTTGGACATCTGCAAACAAAATTTGGACCCATAATCAAAGGAAGGTAAAACTTGCTTAAAAGAAAACATTTATAGTGACAAGACATGGATTTATTACTATGAGACTGAGAGTAAATGGCAGAATATGGAATGGAAACATCACTGACCAAGAAAAAATTCAAAATTCAACCATCAGCTGGAAAATTGATGATTACAGTTTTCTAGGATTCTCAAGGGCCAGTATTGGAACACTATCAGCAAAAAGGTCCAACAATCAACAGTGCTCATTATAGTGAGATGCTCACTTAAGAGGTGAAGCCAAATTTTGGAAGAAATGCAGAGGAATGCTATCCAAGGGTATTGTGATCTTGCACGACAATGCAAATTCCAACACCTCTAACCCACACTGTTGACACACTGCAAAAACTTTGTTTTGAGGTGCTAAAGCATCATCCCTAAAGTCTTAATCCTGCTCCCTCAGACTTTTAACTGTTTGGTCCCCTGAAAGCCATTCTTCAAGGACTTCTGATGAAGAAGTGAAGATAGCAGTGCATCTGTGGCTCGAAGCTCAGCCTAAAACATTTTTAATAAGGGAATACAAAAATTTGTCGACAGATGGACAAATTATATTGAAAAGCAAGGAGATTATGTCAAAAATTATATATTTGTCTTTTCTAAAAGTACATAAAAATAAGTTCTACAGCCAGAGTACAGATACTTTTTGACTCACTCTTGTACAAGAACCTGAAAGAACCCCAAACAGGATAGATCTCAAAAGAAAATCACCAAACTTTCCAAAATCAAAGACAAAGAAAGAATCCTGAAATCAGATCAAGGAAAAATGAAAAGTTACCTACAAAGCAGCATCAATAAGACTAAGCTCTGATTTCTCAGCAGAAACCATGCAGGCTACAAGGCAATGAGAAGACATATACAAAGCTCTGAAAGAAAAAAATTTCCAACAAAGAATCATATACCCAGCAAAACTGTCTCTCAAATATGATAAGGAATTTAGGTCATTTCTTTATACACAGAAGTCAAATGAACTTGAAATGATCAGACCAACTTTACAAAACATGCTTAAAGGTGTTCTTTGGACTGAGAACCAATAACAGCAGACAACAACCTAAGATTACATGACAACATACCCATAACTCAATCCAGATACGAGAATATTTTAAGTAAACCAAACCTACACAACTGAAAATAGGGAACCAGAGATATCAATGTATAATGAAGTTAACTACAAAATAGGGAACAGTGTATATACAGACTGTTTTAATCAGGGAAAAAATAATAAATTACTGGGTAACCTCATAGAAAACGAATACCTCTGCACATTAAGATTTTTTTAAAAAACAGAAAGTAAACTTTAACACAACAGAAAAGAAAACCCACAAACAAAATGAACTCAGCATAGAAAATTATGTGGAACAAAGAATCCAGCAACACCATACACACACAAAAAAAAGAAAACCCCAGAAAAATGAGAGCAATCAATTCATACCTATTGATAATTATACTGAATGTAAATGGAGTAAATGTACCAGTCAAGAGACATTAAGAGCAGAATGGATAAGAAAACAGGATCCTTCAATATGCTGTCTACAAAAAACATATTAAAAGGATGGAGATAGATAAATGCCCACCAACAGAATGGTTAAACAAACTTTAGTTCATACACACAATGGAATACTACAAAATGCTGAAAAATAATAATGAATCTCACAACATGGTTGAACAACCTCACAACATGGTTGAACCTAGAAGACATTATGCTAAGTGAAAGTTGTTTGGAGTTGGGTCTAACTCATAGCAACCCTGTATAGGTTTTCCTAAGCTGTAAATCATTACAGGGTCACTATGGGTCAGAATGAACTTGACAGCACTTAATAATAACAACAAATCTTTATGGGAGCAGAAAGCCTCATCTTTCCCTGCGGGACTGCTGATAGTTTCAAACTGCTCTTCTTGAGGTTAGTAGCCTGACTTGTAACCACTATGCTGCCAGAGTCAATCACAAAATGACAAATATTATATGGGACTAATATTGTAAAAAACAAGCAAACAAATAAATAAACAACTTTTCTTGATAAAAGAAATAATCTATGATGGTTTGAGGTGGGAGGAGGATAAATTACTCATGGGCTAGAGGGTAGACAGATATTAATGTTAGTGACAGGGAAGGTAATAAACAACAAGAGAGAGGTTAGCAGAGGAAAAATGAAGGTAGCGGGAGACACAGGGAGAAATGCAATAATTAATGTGAATAGAGGCAGATATTGTTAACTTTTGGTATACAGGGAGGATTGCAACCATATAATGAAGCAAAGTATATGATTTGTTGAATGTTAAAACGATGATCTGTTCTGTAAACCTTCACTCAATTCACAGTAAAAAGTTGGGGAAAAAGAAGAAGAAATTCTAGGTAAGTTTGAGGGCATGTGTGAGCAGGAGATAGAAAAGGAAACAAGAAGATAATGGAAATGGAGAGGGGAAAAATTTTAAAGACAAAAGGAAATAAATAAATAAGAATTAAGAACGCCATGGAATATCTTTCCTTTGCACCCATATTCTCAATGGACTGACTGTATACAGTTTTCTAAGTAGGTGGTTCTAGAATAGAAATGTAATAAGCAGTGGACTCACCAAGTCGACTGCGCCTAATCTCCTCTGGTGAGATGGGCCGCAGCTTTCTTTCAGCTTTGATTTCTTCTAATATTCTTTCATGGAGGCTCCGTGGGCGTGGTGGGGTGGGTTTTAGTTTTCTGGCTGAGACCTTAAAAATAAAAAGTAATTGCTAAAGGCTTTATTCAAATTATTTTTACAGAATTCTATTCATATTGTATTATGAAATTATATTTCATTGCTTGAAATGTTACCCGCACTTAAAAGACCATTTTACAAGTCATAAATATAAAGATTTGCAAAACAATAGGGATATTACTGGATTTCAGAGTGACTTAAGTCATATGATCAACTAACTTTACAGAGTCCTGGTGTGGCACTGCAGGATAATGCACTGGAATGCAAGGTCAGTTTGAACTTCAAGGTTGCCGGTTCAAACCCACTAGCTGCTCCTCAGAAACCCTAAACAGGGTCGCAATGGTTTGGAACCAACTCATGGCACTTAACAACAACAACAACATCCTTTCAGAAGCAAATAATCAGGTTTGTCTTGCAAGACACCTCTGGCCGGGTCCAAACCACCAACCTTTCAGCTAGTACACAAACTCTCAGCCCTTGACTCTTTACACTACCCAGTTGGCCTAAAGACAATAATAGTAATGATAAAGTATAGCTTCAATTTCAATGTGTTTTCTGTTGTGCTAGAATATAGGGCACAGAACTATACCTTTAATAAAACTGCTAAAAATTGTTGTTATTAAGTGTCACTGAGTCGGTTCCAACTCATAGCGACCCTGTATAAGGTTTCTGAGGAGCAGCTGGTGAGTTTAAACCTTGCAGTTCAAACCAACCTTGAAGTTGAGTGCTTATCCAACAGCGTCACACTTTTGAAAACACTAAGTAGCACTTCTGTTTTGCACACATGGAGTTACTAAGTCAGAATTGTCTTAATGGCAACTGACAGCAATTGTTGTCTTTGAATTTCTGAGTAACTCAACACAGCCTTCTGAGCTAATCATGATCATCTTTTTTCTATAGTTGAGGAAATCAGGGCTCAGACAATTACTATCAAAGTAGATGTGCAGCAGGATGGAATTATTTTGAAATAGGATCAATATGACAATTTAATCAAGAAGATTAAATTAAGTAAACTGGAAGGATAATCCATTTTGAGAACATAAATAAAGTCCTAGTGTGGCACTATAGGATAAGACGCTAAGCTGCAAGGTCAGTTTCAGCCACAAGGTTGGCGGTTAAAAAACCACCAGGCACTCCTCAAAAACCTTATACAGGGTTGCTATGAGTAGGAAAAGACTTGACAGCACTTAAAAACAACAACACTAAATTTATCCATTATAGAAGGCATTTGGCTTGATTTTATACCATAATCAAGTCCTTTTGAATTAAAACATCCTTAATGAGCCAGACTGCAAAGCCATTTGAACTGCAAGGTCGGTGGTTCAAGCTCACCAGCTGCTCCTCGGAAACCCTGTACAGTGTTGCTATGAGTCAGAATCGACTCGACGGCACTTAACAACAACGGCAGTCTTTCAGTGAATACTTTTAAATATTATTTTGTGACATTAGAATGTGATTTACACAGTTGTGCTTCTTGATTCTGAGAAAACAACGGAGTGTAGAAATCACTATGCAGAACTGAGTTCCAAAAACGATATTCTAAAAGAGACTGAATCATATGTAGTCCCCAATCAAGAGGAATGTGTCAAATTACATACTGGATTTAGAGGAGGTCTTGATCTGATAAAGTCCAGGATGATTTCATGAGCACTTTTTTTTAACCGAGGTGGAATATCACCATTCACCTGAAACGAAATAAAATTTAGGATTGTCACTTTATATATAGCTGTTATCTCAACATTTGTCATAAAATATACACTAATGTCTTCTTAAAATCAAACAGTCAACTAGTAAAGAATGTCTGTCTTGAGCATTGTGCTCTTGTAAAAGCTATCTATGTGGGATCAAACTGACAACAGCAATGTAAAACATACATAGAAAACCTAGAGACAAACAGTTTATGTAAAGAGAGAAGAACAGCACAGAAAAGAAGGTGAGAATGGTTGCACAATTCAACTGTAATCAATGTCAGTGAATTGCACATGTAGAAATTGTTAAATTGATGTATATTCTGCTGTGTATAAATCAATTTCTTTGAAAATTTAAAAAAGACCTAGAAATCCACATAAAATAACAATTAAACACATAATCTGCCCACCCAGGAAGAATAACTGTCCTATTTGTTTTCCATCCTGCCTTAAAATAAATAAATAAATAAAGGAAGTTTAACAGCCCACCCAGTCCCCTTCCCCATCCCAATCCCACATACAACCCATTCCCCTAAGTCAGTCTGTTAGACAAATCTGCTGGCTGCTAATTCAGTATCCATGCTTTTTTTCACTTCCTGCTGGCAAGCACGGATTTGGTTCAAGTGCCTTGTTTCCCAGACAGGAACTTTACTAGTAAACAGTGGCTTATCTGAGACAAGAATATGGCTGTTACTAACTGATTAAGCAACCTAAAAACAGAATTGGAGCCCTAAAGAGGTACTTCCTACCTGTGTATTTCATGCTACAATAAGACTTAAGGAAATCCTTACTGCATAAAATAATTTAACCATAATTTTCTATTGTTTTCTAGTATGCTACTGGCCAGGATTGTACATTGGTTTAGCCCGATTTGGTATTTTTTAACAGGTGTTTTACTGTGGTTAAAAACAAAAAACAACTAAAAAAAAACCTGTTTGCTAATTCAACAATATTTATACATACAATTCAATGACATTGATTATATTCATCATGTCATACAACCATCATCTCAATATGTTTCCAAATTATTACACCATGATTAACAGAAACTCAGTGACCCCCAAAGCAAAGACTCCCTTTTCCTCTTTCCTTCCACCACTGGTAACCATTAAAAAACTTTGGTCTATACATTTGTTTCTACTTGTTTTTTTTTATATCAGTAAGGTCATAACTGTATGTGTACTTTTGTGACTAACTTATTTCACTTAGCATAATGTCTTTAACCATCACATGTCTGTCAGTCTGTTGTACTGTGGTGGCTTGTGTGTTTCTGTGATTCTGGAAGTTATGCCTCAGGTATTTTAAATACCAGCAGGGTCACTCATGGTGGAGAGGTTTCAGATGAGCTTCCAGACGAAGATAGACTAGGAAAAAGGAGAAACAAACTATTTCTAAATATTTAATCACTGAAAACCTTATTAATAGCAGTGAAACATTGTCAGATATAGTGCCGGAAAATGAATCCCTCAGGTTGGAAGGCACTCAAAATGTGACTGGGGAAGAGCTGCCTCCTCAAAGTAGAACTGACCGTGATGACATGAATGGGGCACAACTAAAAATTAAGAGAAACAGCTGTAAATGTCCATTAATAACTAGAACATGGAATGTAAGAAGTATGAATCTAGGAAAATTAGAAATTGTCAAAAATGAAGTGGAAAGCATAACCATCAATATCCTAGGTATTAGTGAGCTGAAATGGACTGGTATTGGCCATTTTGAATCTGACAATCACATGGTTGATTATGCCAGGAATGACAAATTGAAGAGAAATGGCTTGCATTCATCATCAAAAGGAACATCTGTCATGAGGTACAATGCTGTCTGTGATAGGATAATATCCATGTGCCTACAGGGAAGACCAGTTAACACTATTACTCAAATTTATGCACCAACCACTAAAGCCAGTGAGGATAAAATAGAAGAATTCTACCAACTTCTTCAGTCTGAAACAGATCAAACATGCCATCAAGCTGTATTGATAATCACTGGTGATTGGAATGCAAAGGTTGGAAATCAAAGAGGAATGATCAGAAATTGGAAAATATGGCTTCTGTGATAGAAATAAGGCTGGAGATCGCATTATAGAATTCTGCAAAACCAATGATTTGTTCATTTCAAATACCCCTTTTAAACAGCATAAGAGATGACTACACCTCACCAGATGGAATACACAGAAATCAAATTGACTAAATCTGTGGAAAAGCTCCATATCATCAACCAAAATAAGGTCAGGGGAAGAGTGGAACAGACCATCAATTGCTCATATGCAAATTCAGACTGATGCCGAAGAAAATGAAAACAAGTCTATGAGAGCCAAAATATGACCTTGAATATATCTCATCAGAATTTAGAGATCATCTGAAGAAAAGAAATCTTGGACTTTAGAATTTGCCAAACTCAATGCCAAGAGCCGACAACTTGGGAGAGACCAAACAGCAGGACCAGGTGGGGAAGCAAGCAGACCCACCGGGAATTAATGACGGTGGGAATCTCGGAGCTAAGGTGACGTTATTCTCTGTTTGATTTTGCTTTGTTCTGATTTTTTTTTTTTTTTTTTTTTTTGGTATTTGTTCATTGGCCTCTAACTGTCTGGGCACCTCCATTCGGGTGACTAGAGGTGGTGCCTGAGCCAGTAGACACGCCCACCCCCCACCACTGGAGAGTTCTTTCACCACGAATGCACACAGATCCTAAGCGGGCCTTCCGAGGCTATGAATCTTTGCAGGAGCAGAGGGACTAGTTTTTCTCCTACAGAACAGCTAGTGGTTTCGAGCTGCCAGCTTTGGGCTTGGCGGCCCGTTGCATAACTACTACACTACAAGCAGGCAGGTCAAAACAGCCACAGCCAGCCCTGAACTATTTATTAATAGGGAAAAGACCAGAACGGGGGTGTGTGGAGAGGGACAGAGTTTATATACAAAACAGGCCGAAAATTAAATACTGAGATATAGCATAACAACCAGCAATGGCATCTTGAAATTTATCATACAGCCCTGAAGGTACGAAGCTGAAAGAGGGCATTAAAGCATTCTCATATTAGGCTACAGATTTCTTTCTTTCTTTCTTTTTTCTATCTTGCCTGTCCTTTTTCCGAGATTATAGACTACAGTATCCAAACTGTTTTTTTGTTTTGTTTTATTGGGGGGAGGGGGTTAATCTTTCTTTTCCTTTTCCTTCCTTTTTTGCTGTTGTTTTTATTTTTCTTCAGTTCTGTGTTTTGTTTTTGTTCCCCTTTTACCTCTAGGGGGCTCTTTCTCTCCCTATACTACCCAAAAAGGGACAGAAATTTCTGCCATATAGTTAACAATCACACCCTATAAAGCCACACAATCCAGGCAAGAACCAATACCAACTGCCATACACACCAGGGAAGCAGACACCTATGAAAGTTCTCTGAGTTAAGCAATAAGAAAAGTGAAAAGGGAAGGCCACCGCCTGATCACATCTACCTGGAGACAATCAGGAAGCATAAAAAATATCAAATCACAGACTCAATTAAGTATTAAGGCCATAGCTAAACACTAAACATGTCCCCAAAGGAAAAACATATGATTATATCAGCACATGTCCAGAAACAAGATAAAATGTCTGACACAAATAACCTAGAGGTAGACCTGGACTGTATTCTGGAAGGAGGGCAGGCCTTGGAAAAGCCTGAGAAGGAATTCAGAAAAATGATTATAAAATGTTTCAAAACACTGTACAATGGTGTTGAGAACAACAAGGAAGAAATCTGGAAAGCACTACAGAAACAATCAAATGAGATAGAGCATTAGAAACAATTCAAACCCTACAGAAAGAGGTGCAAATGATTAATAATAGAATATCAGAAATAGATGATACACGGAAAGGGCAAAGGAGTAGAACTGAAGAGACGGAAAGCAGAACTAGTGAAACTGGAGGGCAAATCTCTCAATAAGATAGAAGAACAAGTAGAAGAAAGGATAAAAAATCCAAAGAAGGTCTAAGATTCATGTTGGACAACATAAAGAGGAATAACAAGAATTATTGTCATTCCAGAACAGGAAGAATCACACAAGTCCACAGAAAAGATAGTACAGGAGCAACTGGAAGAAAATTTCTCTAATTCTTGAAAAGTTAAAAGATAAACATTCAATGAACCCCAGGAAGGATAAACCCCAAAAGAAAATCATTGAGACATATCATAATCAAGCTCTCCAAAATCAAACATTAGGATACAATCCTGAAAGCAACTATGGAAAAAAGAAGTGTTACATAAAAAGGCAAGCAACTCAGATTAAGCTCGGATCTCTCAGCAGAAACCATGCAAGCAAGAAGGCAATGGGGATATATATATAAAACTCTGAAAGAAAAAAACTGTCAACCAAGAATCCTTTATCCAGCAAAGTTATCAATCAAATTTGGTATAATAAAAATTCCAAGATAAACAGAAACTAAGGGATTTTGCCAAAGCCAACCTGTGCCACAAAACATCCTAAAGGGAGTTCTGTGGACTAAGAACCAACAAGAAAAGACGCAACCAGAGATTGACATACGTGGCAGCACCTCCAAGAACTAAAATACCTAAAATGGGGTTACAATGTGCCCATTAAAGGAGGCTTCCTGTGGAGCCTTTGCATTACATAGGATAAAAGGTGAAATCCTGAACACCATCCAGAATCTTCTGAGACAGGAAATTTCCACTGAAAGGACAAGCAGAGCAGCCTGGAGTGGCTGGAAGAACATAAGATACTTCTTGAAAGAAAGACTGACAGAAAAAATAAAAAATAAGGGCAGTCCAATTAATTACTACAAGAACAAGCAAGTTGCTCACCGAGGAGACATCAAAGCAAGTGTAAGGTCCCCTCACGGCAAACCCACATCCAAGATTCAATGGGAATACATGAACAGACATGCGCTCTGATTGGTGACCAAGTTTGTCATTAATAAGGGGACATGAGGGAAAAACAGCAATGAAGCTGTGAGCTAAGACCTACCACGTTCATAGATTCCTGTGAATCTTGGGTGGAGACCTG